ATTCCTCGATGTGTAAGTTATTCATGCGTTTAGTGACCGGAATATAATCGCTGTCTTCGGGACTACTTCTGTCGCGCTTTCTGATAGACATCGAGGAATACAAATGGACACCAAATTAGACATACAATCGGTGGCCACAACTACAGACAATACATACCTCGAGGATGTGGTTAAAGTCATCATAAAAATGGTGTCTTCAGACACGAAGTCTCTCTCAATGGATAACAATATTAATTGCAATGAAGTGTCAAATCAAATGTCAAACTGAATGTGAATTTAGTGCCAAAATGAGCACAAAATGACCACAAAATCAGTGGAAACTCCTATTTGTGTCAATCATTTGGTACACAAATCGCGATTCAACTGAAAATGAGTGCTATTTTGGACGCAAATCATACGATAAACTCGTGAATCGTTTTCAAATGGACTCAACAATTAGTGACTGAATGCTATTCAATGGGAAATGAGATTCACATTGAATGCGCTAATCGTTAGTCTATTTACTGATTGTTTGTGTTTTGGATTGCAATGCAAACACCAATCAGTTGTGAAACGCAATGATTGTCTGTTTTGGATGTTTGTAAGCATTCATCAACCAATAGATGGCACCCATTGTCAAGGCTTTCCATGCATTGCATTCAAAAACTTTTTTAATTTATTTTTTATTTTTTTCAATTTGTTTTGTATTATACTGTAATTTAGCTTAATATTAGATTACATTTTAATTTGTAATTAAATGTATATTTTAAAAATATTATCTAATCGTTTAACTGTGGTTTAAATGGGTGTCTATTGATTGCAACCAAATATTAATATTAAGGTGTTTTGTTGTAGTATTGCCTATGTTTGTAAACTTTTGCAACTATCCAGGTAATTATCATTCTTAATAAAGTGTTTTAATCAGTTTTGATAAATACTTATTAAAGTCTATAGTTTGAGTGAAAGTCAAGTCTACAGTAGTTTATATGATGGCAATTGAAGTGCACTTCATATCTCAATATTTGATACTTTAATAGAAAGTGATATTAAAAGGCGTCTAAAAAATTGATATTAAATTCTTGCCTGAAATCCGCGTTTAATTGAGTGCTTACATACACACCTGTCTATGGGTAGGGGAGGGAAGGGGTGCCTATGTATTAGTCATCACATTTTCTTACAGGTATAAGTGTTGCATAAATCTTAACATTTATACGAATTAGTAATAACTACCGGTAAATACCACATGAAATCAATTATAAATTCTGGTGTGTATTCCCTTTGCGTGTATTCTCTTAAGGCATAAAAAGTGTGCAAAAATACATTATCCCTAAGATTCACATCAGGAATGACTCAACACTACAAATAAATAATTCTTACATCAGTTTCTTAATGTTTGCTAAACTGGGACTCATTTTAGATTATTTACACATTTTTTTATTAAAAGTTGTAAATACTTTTCATAAAATACAATGATTTTCACGCATTTTACTGACAATTAAAGGCTTTTTACAACAGATATAAATTGAGAGTATGATTGATACCATCGGTATTATCAATGGTTTACTTTCAGTGTTTTGAAACAATTTATATTTTATTTTCATATATGATATAAATGATATCATAAATGTCTTCATATAATGAGCGTAAAAAATAATGACATTCTGTTCAGTCATATCATATCAGTGTAGATATAGTTTTATAAATTATTTGATAAATTGGAGATTTATTTTAATTGAGACTATCGTATAGTTTTTGTTGGTATTGAGAGTAATGTATTTTTGGGTAAAATTAATTGAAAACTTAAGTAAAAACTTTTCGCAAAATCGACGCCAAATGCAAATTAATTAATTGACTCCCGAAGTGAGACACAAATCCTAATTTGAGACCTAATTATCCCATATATTAGTGCAGTGTTTATAGCAATCGATTGAGACTAAAGTCTGAGACACACATAAAAACACATGAAAACTGCTATTAATTATGCACTCAAATGCAAATCAAGTGTCGCGCTAATCATATCTACGGTTCAGTTGATCTGATTTTGGTTTTTATACCGAAATATAAATAAAAAAGACTTTTTGTTTTTCAATTAGCGATCGTCTTCTGACCCATATTTTCATATTTTAGTCAACACTTCACTCAAACTCATTGAATAAGTGGTTACAAGAATTTTTCGGAGAAATAAAATTTGTTTAACAAATCATACGTTCAGTATTTAATGTAAACTAAATATTTATGTGATTCACATATCAAATATGATATGTTTCATGCAATTTGTCATTAATTTTCCGCTTATTGTCAGTTGTTTTGACAAATTTAGACTAAAATACATTTACAAATGTTTTCCGTACATAACAAATGCATTGAATTTCCTTAAAAATGTTTTAGGATTTATGCAAGAATTTAATCAATCATTAAATACACAAAATATAATTTCTTATATGTTTAGTGACGACCTGTTTATTGATAAGACTTAGCATTTATAGTGAAAATTATTGCTTTGTTTTTACTTTAATATAAACTTTCCGATGGAATAGTGATATGAAATGAGTGCTAAATAATTGTTTCGCTTATTTGGCGTCAATTTCGCTGATATATCAAAATCTTTGCATAAATCTTATGAAACACTTTAGACTTATATTTTATAGGAATTTATGTCATTCATAGCCACAACCCATTCATTACACCATATATTGAGACAATTTTGTTATAATGTATGAAAATTATAAATCATTAATAGTTTTCTTGTGACATTTGATTAGATATATACCGAAGAATAGACCAAATCATGCGAAAAGGATTGCAAAAGCGTCCAAACCATAGATTCATATCGTATTTCCACATAACATTTGACACCAAATTTGTTCAAAAACAATATAAATTCAATGTTTAAATGAGTCGATAAAAGGGAAATCATATTTGCATTGAAAATACCTCTCGTCTTATATAGCAGTTGATAGGAAAAGTTAGCGACAAATCTAATTTCAATCAAAACTAACAAAACTAATCAAATATCGCATTGAATACAATATGCATATATCGGACACCCGACACCCCACCCATTATCTAATCGTATGAAAAAGTTAGGCAAAAAAGTTTTCAACAAACTTATGAATATTGACATAACTGTGCGCTTGTATAGAGACACAAATAATTAGCATATATTGAAAGCCCAGACAGTGTTTAGGAATCCTTTTATAGTTATAGTCAACATAAATGACCTCTAATTGCAAAAAAGCAATTCAATTCTCAATTAACAGCAAAACATTCACTTATAAGGCGTGCAAATGATTTGTACGTGAATTTGAATTTTTCAAACCTTAGAGAGAGAGAGAGAGAGCATAAAAGTTATAAAAGTTTTACGAAACTTCTTCAACTAATCACTAATCATATGATAGCGTAAAGTGTATCCGAAAATCGCGACTAGAATTCAATGCATTTATGATGGCATTAGAAAAGTATGGAAACTATTCACAGGAAACATACAATACATTCATCGGTTATATGGAAATGAATGGTTTGGTAACGATAGGTATGGTATGCACTGGAATGACAGCAATGCAATCATATAATCCCCAAAACGGGAAGTTTTCAGTTCGTATATTTCAATACCATATTAGGGCATACATTCAGACACTCACGTCATACGCACTCTATGCCGGCCCCCTATCCACCAATACTGGCACAGGGATCAGGCATTGGGCCTCAACTACGTGTCCACCCGTACGCCCAATCCCTGCCCCCATGACTCACACATCTATGCAAAGCCAATGCAAACCCATTGCACACCCGTTGGCCGTCATTGATGTCTCGACGTATTGACACATTTGATAAGAGACTCGACGTTAGAGTTATAAATTTGAAAGAATTCAGTGTCTGATCTACACTTCAATTGTGACATTCATTCACACAAACCATTCAAACATTCAATTATTTATTGCAATTCAGACTCAGCTCTCAATTCATTTCATTTGAATCGTAAGTATTTTCATTACATTTAATTGCTATTAGTTTAGCGTTTTATAAATCTATTGAAAGCTCGCTTATAGTGAAGGGGCGTGTAGTGCAACGGCTATTGTGTGAGCACTGACCAGGGCACATTGTGTCATATAGTGTGCTTGATACATTTGCCGATACACCCCTCGATTCATATCAAATGAAATACTTGATTAGAGACTAAACTATAAGCGAGTCTTTAGTTAATAGCATATTATTGATGCGTTTAATGCAAACGGCTTTTCGCCACCAAAACCTCAATCAAACGGATCACTAAAACACAAACTCTTTGTCCCAAATCTGAACCACAGTTTGAAAGCCAACCCAAACCACAACCCAAACAACATGTGCGACGACGAAGTAGCGGCTCTAGTGATAGACAACGGCTCCGGGATGTGTAAGGCCGGGTTCGCCGGTGACGACGCCCCCCGCGCCGTCTTCCCATCGATTGTGGGCCGA